ATAGGGTGCTGTCAAACTCACCTTTTTGCTGTCCTTGATGCATGTGTGTATGGCGCTTCCTTCCGGGATACTTCGGTGGTGTTTCCCCTTGATAGATTGTTGTCCAACTCACCTCTTAGCTGTTCTTGACACATGTATGAGCTGCGATTCCTTCCGAGGTACTTTGGGGAACTTCCCCCTTGATAGACTGCTTTCAAACCCATCTCTTGGCAGTTCTTGACACATGTATGTGTTGCGTTTCTTTCGGGGACACCTTGGTAAAACTCTCCCTTTAATAGATTGCGTCAAAACTTATCTTTTGGCTGTGTTTGGTGCGAATGTGTGTGTGTTGCAGTCCCCAGTAACCTGTTCAGTCCACCCCTACCCGTTGTTGTAACTTGTGACTCCCGGTATGTGTATGTGTGTGTGTGTTGCAGTCCCCGGTAACCTGTTCAGTCCACCCTTAACCCTTGATGCAACCGGACATGGGGTTAAGCTTTCACTGCCGCCACCGCTCCTCCAAGCTCGAACACCTCCAACCCCTCCAACCCCTCTTCCTCCTCCATCACCCACACCCGTCCACCATAGCCGACCCCCTCCAATCCCTCTTCTTCCTCCATCACCCACACCCATCCACCATAGCCGACACCTCCAACCCTTCTTCTTCCTCCATCACGCACACCCGTCCGCCATAGCCAACCACCTCCAACCCCTCTTCTTCCTCCATCACCCTCACCCGTCCACCATAGCCAACGACCCTCAACCCTTCTTCCTCCTCCATCACCCACGCCCGTCCACCATAGCTGACCACCTCCAACCCTTCTTCTTCCTCCATCACCCGCACGCGTCCACCATAGCCGACCACCTCCAACCCTTCCTCTTCCTCCATCACCTGCACGCGTCCACCATAGCCGGTCACCCTCAACCCTTCTTCTTCCTCCATCACCCACACCCGTCCACCATAGTCGACCACCTCCAACCCTTCTTCTTCCTCCATCACCCACGCCCGTCCACCATAGTCGGCCGCTTCTTCCTCCTCCTTCACCCATGCCCGTCCGCCATAGCCAACCACCCTCAACCCTTCTTCCTCCTCCTTCACCCATGCCCGTCCGCCATAGCCAACCACCCTCAACCCTTCTTCCTCCTCCTTCACCCACGCCCGTCCACCATAGCCGACCACCTCCAACCCTATTCTTCCTCCATCACTCGCACCCGTCCACCATAGCCGGCCACCCTCAACCCTTCTTCCTCCTCCTGCACCCACGCCCGTCCACCATAGCTGACCTCTTCCTCCTCCTTCACCCACAAGGTCGATTAGGATGTGAAGCTTCTTGTCTCTCTCTCTCTCTCTCTCTCTCTCTCTCTCTCTCTCTCTCTCTCTCTCTCTCTCTCTTCCTCCATTCCTTCAAAACTCTTTAACCCTTAACCCTTCCGTCATCCCTTCCCCTCCATGGCATGTGACTAACCTCTACCCTCACCTGTTACATTGCCAGGGAACGAACGGAAAGGAACCTGGTTCTCACTTGGTGGAAAGCGAGGGCAAGGGAAGGGTTGTCGGTCCCTTGTGCCACCAAGAAGGAAAGGATACGAGACTACAGAGAACATTTGTGACAGCGGAAAGGAGTGTTGTTTTTGTAACAAGGTCAGTTTAACTCAACCATCTTCCCCGACTGCATGACTAAGATGAAGGCATGGTTTTGCTTGAGGGAAGAAAGACAACCCAAGTAACCACAAGGCAAGGGAAACTTAGGCATGTGGGGAGGGGCAGTGTGTTGACCCCAATGGGGATCGCGTTTGGTCTTTGCTTGCGTGGTCTTGTGCAGGTGAGTGTCCGGGATGGGTTGAGCGGGACTGGATCCGCGGGAAACACGGGCAAGGATGGAGGAACGGGAAAAGGGAAGACCTTAGACTTAGCCTAACTATGAAGGCGGGAGGGGATTGAGGGTCTGATGCTTGGATGAATGGCGGATGACGCGGTATGGGTTGCATGGTGGTTGAAAGGGATGGCTCTCTCATGTGCAATGCGACGCCTGGAAAGACTAAGGGCGGTCTTGGATAGGTGGATGTGATGCTAGTGGCTCTCGCAAAAAAACTAGCGGCTAGGGGTCCGGGCGATGCCGCCGCACCCCAAGGATGCGGACGGGGCTGCCCTGAGCCACTAGACTTAGTAAAAAGGTGCGTGGCCCAATGGATGACGCTTGGTCTGCGCACGGTAAGAAGACAAACTCTCAATGAACTCCCTGGACTGCTTGTGTATTGGAAGGAGCAATTGCCTGGTCAGACTTGGGGATATAGCTCCGCTCTCGCGTCAAGATGATAACTCTTTGGGCACTCGTGGCGTTTTGAAAGGGATGGCTCTCTCATGTGCAATGCGACGCCTGGAAAGACTAAGGGTGGTCTTGGATAGCTGGATGTGATGCTAGTGACTCTTGCAAAAAAACTAGCGGCTAGGGGTCCGGGCGATGCCGCCGCACCCCAAGGATGCTGACGGGGCTGCCCTGAGCCACTAGACTTAGTAAAAAGGTGCGTGGCCCAATGGATGACGCTTGGCCTGCGCACGGTAAGAAGACAAACTCTCAATGAACTCCCTGGGCTGCTTGTGTATTGGAAGGAGCAATTGCCTGGTCAGACTTAACTGAATCGAGAAAACGCCACGAGTGTCCAAAGAGCTATCATCTTGACGCGAGAGCGGAGCTATATCCCCCAATGTAAAGCCCTCTCGCAAGTGGCCCATCCCCATCCATCTCATAGCACTAGGTGGGGGTGCCCCTGGGACGAACGACCCGCGCCCTGAGCGTGAGCGTGGGCGGGTTGAGCCAAATGGGACCCGCAGTGGGGTCGACCAAGGCTCGAAAGTCCTTCAGGGTACGGCCCCTACAAAAATGGTGGAGGTGCCTGGCATTGGGTTAAACTGACCCATACGGTCTCGAGGGGGGCGCCCGACGCATGACCGCGAACATGAACATTGAGAAAAGGAACGAGGATTTGTGTGTGCTCTATCCCTTTGAGCGAATCAGATTTGAGGGTGGCTGGGCGCATGGCAAGGCCAGGCCTGGAGGAAGAGCATGCATGCTTGCACTTTTGATCAGCCATTACCTGTGGAGATGACTCTAGTCCTCCTTCCCTTGGACTGATGTTCGTCAGGCCGGGGAAGCCTTGGGCAAGCCGCTGGGTGACCCTTCCTCTTCGTATGAAAGAAGGGCTCCGGTTACCTGGCAGGCGGTTGGGATCCCGGGCTAGTCCGGGTTCCGAAGAAAATCCCGCGGCGGAGTGATCTGACCGACCTGGGTGCCTTCTCTTCTCCTCTTCGGAGCCCAGCGGGCTCCGTGCACCGCACTTAAATGCTTGAAGGAACCTCATATGAACGCAAAGGGTAATCGAGAAGGAACAATCCTGCCCTATGAGCGGACACATGAAGTGAAGATAAGGGGAATGAAGGGAGTTGCTAGACTCCAAGAAAACTAGCTCACCTTTGAAGATGCTCACGAAAAAGAACCGGGCACTATATATGGAAGTTAGGGGTGAGTGGCACGCACTGTCCTGAGTGAAAACATGTGAGCAAGGGGTAGGAAGCGTTGGGTGCACCTGGGGAAAGGCACTTGTGTTATGTGTGTCCCACTTGGGGCTTGTGCTTGCATGATGGGGATATTGAGCGTCCTGCCATTTGGAAGGAAAGGTGGGGTCTGCACCGGCCACTGCGGGTTGCCAAACATCGTTCTCTTTGCAGACTGCCGTTTGTTCGTGTGCGGGGGTCAGACCATCGAGCTGTCTAACGGGAGTTTATCACGTCGAGTGCTTATTAGCATTCTCGTCCGTGCGGTGACGGGCTTCGGCTCGATTGATCTGTCGGGCGGGGTGTGAAACGTTCCTCAGGCGGGGCCTAGCATGTGGACTGGCGGAGGGAGCACCACTACATGGGGGCAAAGACGGAGCCTGGGAGGTGATTAGTAGCTTCACGTAGCCTGGTTTGGAAAAAGGTTGTTCCTTATCGAACCAATGGAAGTGAGTGCCTGGATGGCTGGCTCCAATGGCCCTACCGAGATGTGCGGGGTGATTCCAGAGATTAACGGTGGGTACACGAGCGGCAAGTCGGGATGGGGTATTCTAGGCAAGAAGGTGAGGGCGACCCCCCACTGGAGTCTGGGTACCGTGCTCGCGACGGAGGTATGGGGTAAAGCCCTGCCGATAGTAACAGTGGAGAGACCATTTCCGAGGAAAAGGTCGGTGAGGAGATGACCGACCTGTGTGAGACGTTTGCCTGAGTTTTGCTTTTTGTGCCTCCCTCTGTAAAGTTGTCTGATGAATGTTGGATGGGGACCGAGTTTCTAGTCTATTCTCAACCCCTGCCTAAGTCTGCACAAGTGAGAGAACATGAGGAAGAGGCTGGATAGGAGTCGGAAGAAAGTGGAACCAAGAAAAAGGAATGCGAGCGGTTGGTGATCGATTGGGGGTATGGTAGGGCAATGGCGCCTGGAAAATGGATAGGAAAGGTTAGGGAGGGCCGAATGAGGGGCCTGAAAACAACTCTCATCTAGAAAAGGAAAGAAAACCATCTGACCATGCAGGGCCGTGTGGCGCTCTCATGTGGAAATAGGACTGGCGCCGGAAAAACGGGATGGCGCGATGGTTGTCACCTCCTGTCTACTCTAGTGGCCCGGAAATGCCTATAGACGTAAGGGATGGGGTGTCTGTTGTTCTCCCGGAAGAAGGGACGTGGACCGACCTGGAGCCAGCTTATGAAACTGTGATGCTGGACGAGAAGGACGCGTTCCTCTGGAAGGAGACAACCTGGACTGATGTCAGCCTGACAAGACTTTCACCCAGCCTGATGGACCTAGAGTTTCGGGGAACAGTGGAAGCTCGAGGATGGGTCGACGTATCTCAGGAAATGGAAAATGCAATGGTAGTGGGACTGGTATTGGGCACTGCACCAGAACAATTGTTTAAGCAAGCGGAACGAGAGGTGATATGGGCAGCATGTCAACGGGCGAAAATGGAGATGGAGAGGATGGAGGTGCGAGTGGAACTTGGGGATAGGGGAAATATGAGGCGGCCCCTTACGACAATGAGGTGTGTGTTACCCTCGTTTCTGGTGGATGCTGTCTTCGGAACCAGGGATAGATTGGAACGAATATGTCGGTCGATGACGCGCCTGAGGCTGTATCAATGTGCTAGACAGGACTTCTTTAGGCTGTCGGTGGAAGCAAGGCCGTTTGAAGGAAACTGGGCGGAAGAATTAGCTGAGGTGTTAAACCTCGCGGACGAAATCTTTGTTCCCAGCCCGGTGCATTGGCAGATAGTTTACCGGAATGTGGCGGCGGGTGAAACCTTCCTGGAGGGAGTGAAAGAGTTGTTCTTGGACGAGGAGGGGGATTTCAGTGATGACGAGGACGGGAACAAGATAGAGGACTGGGACTTTTGAAAAGGATGGAGGGACTTATCTGGGAAACGGGCGGTCGACTATGTGCAGGTAGGAAGCGATGGTCCGGGAACTCGAGCTATGGGACTGCACGTGGGAACCAAAACGAATCGGGAGGGGAGTAGAGATGTCTATACCACCAAGTAATGAGTGGAAGGGGACTACATGTGACTGGCGGGGGTATGAAATTGTGCCGGAACTGTCATACCTATGGATAGAACGTGTTTGGAACCCGCTGAGGGAAGAGGAAGGATGGGAGGAGATTGCGGAAGGTAGGGTGGAATCGGTTGGAACGGTTGTTCTCTCTGAACAAGGTTGGCACCTGTTCTGCACGACACTTGCGGCAGGGCAGAATCCGATGTGGCTTCTAGGGGACGCAGAAGCAAGGGTTCGGCAGGCAGGGGAAAAGTTCGCCAACCAGGGTTGGGATACGGTCAGCAGTAGAGTCGTGATGGGAGGGTGGAAGGAATTTAAACGGCCTGGCACCCGAACCAAGACCTGGGTGCCCGAGTTCGTGACAGACTGGTTTGGGGGCTTTGATCACGTAACAGAGGTAGCCGACACGATGGAACGAATACACGTGGACTGCGCATGGCTGGCAGAAGAATTTTTTAGGTTGTCCTTGAAATTCGGGCCCTTCCACGGTGATAGAGCTCGGGAGGTCCTTATCATTTTGGACATTGAAAGGATTGACTGGCAGGAGGTGGCCCCGGAAACTAAGGAGGCCATAATCCGCCGTGAGGTAGCAGCAACACCTTGCTATCTGCATGGTGTGTTCAAACTGTTCGAGGTATTGTGGTTCGAGTAAATGCGGGAAAGCTGTGGGGCCAGGCAAATATGGGAAACGTTGCTAAGATAAGGGAATGGGATGTCTGGCCATTGTAGGGTTCAGTGCGGATCACGAGCCAGGAAATCAAAGGCGACTGTGCGATGGTGCGAAGAAAAACATTCCTTGAGGAACGCCCCTTGGGCATTGAACCGCCTAGGGAAGTACCGAGTGGGGTAGAAGTTAGCTTGCCGGTGGCAAGTGGAGGCTGGCACCAGGTGCCGGATTGGGTCGGGGTCGAGCTTGCGGAAAATATGGTTTACTTGGTGACGAAAGTTGAGTGGCGTGCGGATGAGAATGGGGAATGGAACCCGGACCCGCGGGGGCATGTGCGTGCAGAAGGACGGCTGTATGTGTCAGAGGATGGGTGGAGGGAGTTCGAAGTTCGGTTGGCATCAGGAGAAGACCCGTTGAGCATGTTTGAAGGGGCATGGCAGTTAGTATGGCGAGCGGGATTTGAGTTCGCAGATCCGGGGGTTGACGATGTAACAGCGGACCTTAGGGTAGCCATGGTCGGGAGTTTCGAATTGCCTAGTGAAAATGTACGAATGAGGCTGCCGCCCTTCCAACTGGAAAGGCTGGGCGGTCTGGGACTTGTTAGACGAGCGGTAGCCGACCTCGCAAGCCTGACATATGAAGATGCTATGGTACATCGACAATACTATCGGGCCTTCCTAGAAATGGGCCCATTCAGTGGAGAGCAGAAGTACGAGGTGCTGCGCATCCTGCGTGCTGTGTTTAGCACCAGGCCGAGGGCTCCGGTCGTGGGAAGTGAGGTCCTGTGGGGTGTCATCCGACAGGAAATAAGTCAAGGGATGGTGTACGTGGATGATCTGTACTGATTGTATGAGCCAATGGACTAAGGGACGGATCAATAAAAGAGGTCGGAAGGTTCAAGCTAGAAACCGGGGAGTGTTCGGGCGGGAGCTGAAGATTAAAGGAAATAAGTAAAATCGCTTGCTGTTTAAACTGTGCAGGGGACTACTAAGTCAAAAATGGCGATGAGACACGCTGGGATGTTGCGACGGTCCACACACCCGCGGCCACCCACGGAAAGTGGAGGCAGATGGGAGGTATCGCTCCCAGCAAGCTACATGATCCAAGGATTGGACGTCGAATGGAGGGCCGTGACCCTGGGAAGAGGTTAGGCGTTCATGATGGTGGAATGTTTGTGGGATGGTATGAGAATTAACAGGGGACCAGGAGACGATTTGTATACCGATCTTAGGGTAACGGGGACCATATACCTGCCGGAACTTGGAGGTACATGCTAGGAACGGAATTGGCATTAGGTCACGGGTTGCTACCAATCTTCCAGAGGGCTACTAGGATGTTGAACAGGGTGGGCCAGGAAGTGCGGGGGAGAAGAAACGTGGGATTAAGAACTCGGGTGGAGGTCGGAGGCTGGCGAGAGTTTAAGGCCCCAATGACTGGGTTGAGGTGTCGAGTACCTCATTTCATGGTGGACTTGGTATTTGGTAGCCTCACGAGAGCTAGGGACCTGGTGGATTCGACCCTGGTCTGGATACACCTCTTCCGTCCACAAACAATGAGCATGTTCTGCGATGTGTCGGTCAGACATGGGCCGCTCTGGGGGAATCAGGCCTGGGACCAATAAAAGAGGTCGGAAGGTTCAAGCTAGAAACCGGGGAGTGTTCGGGCGGGAGCTGAAGATTAAATGAAATAAGTAAAACCGCTTGCTCTTTAAACTGTGTAGGGGACTACTAAGTCAAAAATGGCGATGAGACGTGCTCTGATGTTGCGACGGTCCACACACCCGCGGCCACTCACGGAAAGTGGAGGCGGATGGGAGGTAAAGGATTGGACGTCGAATGGAGGGCTGTGACCCTGGGAAGAGGTCAGGCGTTCATGATGGTGGAATGTTTGTGGGGTGGTATGAGAATTAACAGGGGACCGGGAAACGATCTGTATACCGATCTTAGGGTAATGGGGACCATATACCTGCCGGAACTTGGATGGTACATGCTAGGAACGGAATTGGCATTAGGTCATGGGTTGCTACCAATCTTCCAGAGGGCTTCTAGGATGTTGAACAGGGTGGGCCAGGAAGTGCGGGGGAGAAGAAACGTGGGATTAAGAACTCGGGTGGAGGTCGGAGGTTGGCGAGAGTTTAAGGCCCCAATGATTGGGTTGAGGTGTCGAGTACCTCATCTCATGGTGGACTTGGTATTTGGTAGCCTCAAGAAAGCTAGGGACCTGGTGGATTCGACCCTAGTCTGGATCCTCCTCTTCCGGCCACAAACAACGAGCATGTTCTATGATGTGTCGGTCAGACATGGGCCGTTCTGGGGGAATCAGGCCTGGGAACTACTCGAATTACTCAAGATCTTGATATTCGGATTGCCCCACCTGTCTTTTGAAGAATATGAGCCAATAATTATCAGGGAAATAGAGATGGGGGAAAATTACCTTGCTGGGTTGGCTGACCTGTTCGAGGAACCGGATGAGCAGGGCAGGCCTGAGGGACCAGCATGAGAAAACGCGTCAGGAAGAGGTTGGGAAATAAAGGATGGGTACTAAGATAAGTAGGCAGCCATCAACAAAAGAGGGACAGTGATTGGAGTTCCGGCCGACCCAATGATGCGGCAGGGAGGAAGTAGGAAGACCACCGCTCCAAAAATTCTGGGGCACCTGGATGCCAATAAGCCGAAAGGGCCATCCTCGATAAGGAGGCCACTTGGCTCGAACACCGCCCTAAGAGCCAAAGCACGGCAGTGATAAAATGCCAAGCAGCGGCGGCAAGTCCACCGGCGGGAGAAAACCTGGAGGATGCCCTGGGAAAGAAAAGTCAAGAGAGTCGGACCGATTAATATAAAACTCAAAAAAAAAAACATGGGAATAGGCGGGTTTTAGGGTCGGGACTAGGGCAGTTATGAACAACCGACTACTTTTTCGCAAAAAGAAAATTCCATGTGCAGGCAAGGTAAAGAAATGGCGACTGAGGAAGGGATCGACGACCTGCAGAGCGGAGGGAATCAGGGCACGAATGGGGATGGGGAACGAAACGAGGGATCGGCCAGGGATCGAGAGTCAACCAAATTGGAAGGAACCCGAGAAGACGGAAAGGACGCCTCAACTGGAGAAAGCTCGGGAAAAGTTGGGGGTAGCAAAAGGGGACCTCAGGACAACAGGGAAGGCGGAAACGATATGAGAATAAGCCGTCGGAACTCAGCAGGAGCCACCCCTAAAAAGACAAAAGTCTTGGATGCCAGTTGTAAATTGGCAAAAATAGAAAAGCAGACTGCAGAATTTAAGGCAAGGCTTATCGAGCAGATGATGGCCGAGGATGAGGAGGACCCCCAGGGCGCAGGGTCACGTGAGGGACACAGGACCGGTCAGGACGAGGCCAAGTATGAGGGGAGGGACAATAGCCACAAAGGAACGCCTAGCAAGAAGGGGAAGGACAAGAACGACCCCCCGGCGGAGGGGACGAAAAACGCTATGTCCCCCCCTGCCATCGACAGCGGCACTAGCCGACTGCCAGCCACGCCGAAAGTAACAGGGGTGTGCGACGGACTCTGGAGCCTTAGGGAAAGGGTGTTAGGATGGTTTGACCCAGAAGGAACGCCGAAAACCAGGGAGAAGCAGAGGGAAAGCAAGGAAGGGGAAGGGACCAGTGCAGCTGGAGAAGCGGGTAGCTCCGAAGGTGGTCTCAAGAGGATAGTCACCACCCTCACCCGGGCACTAAACAAGAACCAGGGATACCTCGCAGATGCAAAGAAGAAACTCACGTTCGATGGGGCAAACATTACGGAGTTTCTGATAGACTATGAGAACCTAGCAGCCTTATTAAAATGGACGGAAGAGGAAAAGATGGAGCACCTAGGGCAGCACGTGTCGCTGAGCTTGGGAAGGGACATTATGGCCATCGTCGCGTCGAGTGGATCCTGGAAAGAAACCAGGAACGATATGATGAGGAAATACCTGAAGGCAGAGAAAATGGCAACAGAGGCCGAATTAGTCGCAGTCCAGAGGAAAAACTATGCGACTTACAACGATTTCCTAAGGGCATTTACGTTAGTGGCGCTGCAAATTCCCGGGGTAACGGACCACATAATGAGTAAATATTTCCTCAGGCAATTCTCCGAGTTTGATAAGGATAAGATTTTGTCAGCATACCAGCAGACCAGCAAGTTTGAATATACAAGGGATGTGGATTTCAGTACGGTAACAGATCTTGCAGAGAAGACAGTGGTAACGGAGACCCTGGCCTTGCTTAAGGAAGGGGAGATTATAGACCTGACCGGGAAAACGGGGGATAAGGTCAAAAAGGGAATAGAGAGTCTGCATGAAAGGGTGCACGGGGTTGACAATAAGATAAAAAGAATGGAAAGCGCGCTATTAGTAATGTAGGTGCAAGTATCCCGACCCGCCCTCCCACCTCAAGAAGCCGTGGTCCCGGCAGCTGTAGCAAACCGGGGATTTGGCAGGAGGGACCCGACCAACGAACAGTGCAAGTATTGCACCGTGATTGGGCATTTCGTACGGGCGTGTCCGAGACTCAATCACGATATCGAGCGGCAGAGGTGCAGCAGGTCCCTCAAAGGCGAGATCCTCGGACCCAGGGGAGAGCGTGTCAATTGGAACTCGCCAGGAGGGATGCGGCGAGCCGTAATCCTCCTGAATAACTTAGAAATAGTTGTCGTAGAAGCAGAGTCGATAGTCGAGATTGTCTGGGACCAGCCAAGGGGACGGGGACCGCAGGCCAATTTTATCCTAGAAGGCAATGGGCAGGATAGGGTAAATATCACTACCCGACGGGCTGGCGAGGAAAAGAAGCTCATCCGAGACACAGCAATGGAAGAAGTCGTGGGGGCTCGTGCGGATCAGGAGGAAGCGGAGGCCGGGGAACAGGAGAAGGTCTATGGAAAAACGAGGGAAGAGGAACCGGTAGACAAAGCCACAGCGGCAAAAAAGAAGTTCAGATACCAGATTCCGATTCTGACGCTGCCCGAATTAGATGACACACTGAGCAAACTCCTGGGCACCATGGTGTTAGTATCCTTCCAGACCATGTTGCAGGCAAGCCCGAGACTGCTCAAGGGCCTCAGGCAGCTATTGACGCGGAGACGTGTAGAAGTAGAGGAGGCTCTGGAACCACAAGAACAAGGACCCGAGGAGGCAGAGGCACCACAAGGAGTCTCTAACCTCCAAAGCATTGCAGGGGGCTTGGAAGACTTGGAAAAAGCCTTTGTCGATATTCGTCTGAGTCTGCCGGACCGAGAAGGTGGCGAAGTAATGAGAGCACCGCCCGGCACTAAACTTAGCTTCCACGCACTGCCTGTAGGAAAACTTAAAGTCCAGGTCGAAAACCACCACACCGATGCATTAGTGGACGGCGGCGCAAAAATTACCCTCGTACAACGGGATTTCGCAACGATCACGAGGTGCACAGTAAACAAGGAAGTAGCAGGGAGTATCAGGGGAGGAGGCGGAGAAATTCCCTTCACTGGGTATGTTACCAAATGCGCGGTCAGGGCAGGAATTCGGGAATCCATCTGGTATTTCCAACGGATGACCGTCATGGAAGAAATGGACCATGACATAATTCTCGGGAGACCATGGTGCGCCAATGTAGAAATGATTGGCATACACCTGCATGATGGCACATATATGGTAGACATAGAGGATCCGGTGACTGGTCGCGAAGAACTTCTCCGACTCCTCGGAACTGGAGGGGACCCTCCCAAGGGTAAGTTAGCAACCTGGTCGCCGACGTTTGAAGAAAGCGCGCGGAAAGGCGCATTCGCACGGATGCAAGGCATGAGAGAAAGAGTAGAAATCATGATTGAGGAAGTCTTTAGCAAGAAGGAGTGGATCAAGATGGGTTTACCCCTGAAGAAGAGGAGGCAAGAGGACGAGGGCCTGAAAGTTATGGTGGCAGAAAAAGAGTCGGAAGTCGAGCTTGGGGCCAGCCTGCCCAAACCAAAGGAAGGCCGGAACGAAACGTCGGAGGTGGTGCTTGAAATCTCAGATTTGCTACAACTCATTAAGGCCATCAGGTATCACAAAGTTGGGGTGGACCCCGCAGCGCTTGCTAGATTTGAGGATGGGGTCCGAAAGGGTTACTGTCTGAATGGGAAGCTAGTCAGCATCCAGCCCCGCGTCTTGGAAGTAGCAAGGCCGATCCCGACTGTTCATTTTTTAGGAGAACGATCCCAGAAGGAAGTGTGCGAAAGTACAAACCCGTAGGCAAGAAGGCCAAGCCGGTCTCGATCCTGGTAGAAACATCAAAGGAAGAGGTCATGGAAAAGGAAGAGGAAATCCTACGGGTTATAAGGGAGAGGCGAGCAACGGAAGAGCATCGCATACCAGATGACGTAGCAGATACCATGAAAATAGGAGTGGAAGGGTTCCTAACACCGGAAGAAACTCAGTTGATAAGAAGGGCATGTCAAGAGTTTCATTTAGCTTTCGCTTTCAACGATCATCAGAAAGGGAGATTGGACGGAAAGCTAGTTCCCCCTGTCAGGATCCACACCGTACAGCACGAGTGTTGGAATGATAAAGTGTCCACCTATGAGTTTGGGATAGCAGCGGAGGTTACCGACCTGCTTAGAGCTAAGATAGAATCTTTCGTGGCTGAACCGACCGCATCCCCCTATGCGTGTTCAGGAAGCCCAATAAGACGCTCAAGTGGATCCAGGACCTGCAGAAGCTCAATGCGGTAACAATTAGGGACACAGGCTCGCTTCCACAGGCCGAGTTGTTGGCAGAGCCTCATGCGGGGCGGAGCATTTACTCCCTGGTTGACTTGTACTCAGGATATGATCAGTTGCCGCTCGACGCGAGGGATAGACCGTACACCGCAATGCACACCTCTGTAGGACAGTTGCAGATGCAAGTGACCCCTATCGGTTTCACAAATGCGGTAGCAGAGGCTCAGAGGAGGATGTTCGCCGTCACAGGGGATATGTTTCCAGAGAAGTGTGAACCGTATATAGATGATAATCCCGTAAAAGGCACAAGGACGAGACAGCGGTCGAGCCAGGTGTGCGAAAATTTGTTTGGGATCACCTGCAAGATATCAAGGATCTTCTACAGCGGTTCTTGCTCTATAATATTACCGCAAGTGGGCCAAAGAGCATCCTGGCTGTCCCAGAGGTAACTATACTGGGATTTCGCTGTGGGGCCTATGGGAGACGACCCGACCCAGCAAAGACAGATAAGATCTCTCAGTGGCCGACACCTCTGCGTACCACGACGGAAGTACGAGCCTTCCTAGGGGTGGTTGGATTTTGGAGGGTCTTCATCAAAGATTTCGCAAAGATAGCAGAACCTATCCGCGCGATGATTAGGGAAGGTGGCACTATGGATTGGACTGAGGATAGGGAAGAGGCAGCCGAGACACTGAAAGACATCCTGTCGTCCGATCAGGTTATCTTAGCAGCACCCTGCTTCAATGACGAAGTAGGACGGCCCTTCATCCTAGAGACAGATGGCAGCCCAATGGCAGTAGGAGGCGTATTGATACAGAAAAGCGAGGAGGGCAAGGAAAGACCGATCAGAATCGAGAGTAGGACCTTGAATTAGGCAGAACGGCGGTACTTGCAGTTCAAGAAGGAGGTCTTAGCAATCTTACATTGTCTTAAGACCTTCCAGGCATACCTGTTCGAGAGGTGATTTATCCTAAGGATCGATCCCACCAACGTTGTCGGAGCCCTAAAGAACTACAAGCCTATAGATCCGACCGTTGGCAGATGGATAGGCTTCATATGGCAATTCGACTATAAGGTCGAGCGAATTGCAGGGCTTCGAAATAGGGCAGATGGGCTGAGCAGGGTATGCATCACGCCAAAAGGAGTAGAGGACGAGGAACCAATTCACGCCTTCCTGGAGTATGAAGGAGGGACCCTTGTTGTGGATAATGAGATGGCAGATCCAACAATTACAACAGGTCAGTTGCTGATTCAGACCTTGGAAAAGGGCGCACCTTGCAGAACTCAGGGAAGGACCAGTCACCACGGTCAGGCGCAAAGAGGAAAAGGACTCGTGGGGAGCAGAAGTTGGGGCCAGAGAGGAACTGATGGCAATGGTCGTGGAAGGGGGACGGGACGCCGTGATGACATTGGCCGAAACTTGGGCACAGAAGGAATGCCAGTACCTAGTCAACCAGACCTGGGAAGAGCAGGATACGGATCGGAAGGAACAAGAGTTCTTCCTCATACAGATGTATGAGAGCGTCTTTAGAGAAATCGGTCTGCTGCTTGTAGGGAACAAACAACCCTCGGAAGTCAGCTCCAAGGCAAGGGAGGAAGCTGAGAAGTATGTCTTAAGAAATGGCCACCTGTTTAAGAAAGAGGAAGGGATGACGCCTAGGCGAGTCGTTTGTGGGAGGTCTAGGCAGCTGGACGTTATTCAGGCAATGCATGATGGGCTAGCTGGAGGTCACCGATCGTCAAAGGGGAGACTTGTAAAGATTGTGCCCCTGTATTTCTGGCCAGGAATGGCAGGCATGGTCGCAACGTACTGTCAAACGTGTCTGATATGTCAAGAGAGGAGCTCCGTACGGGTTTACGAGCCCCTTAGGCCCACTCGGGTACTGGGACCCGGACACCTTGTTCACCTCGATCTTGCGGTTATGCCCGTATCGACGAATGGGTTTAGATACATCTTGGATGCAAGGGATAACCTCAGTGGCTACGTAGAGGCCGTAGCTCTCAAGAGGAAGACAGGAAAAGCAGTGGCCGATTGGGTGGAAGACTTCTACCTAAGACACCCCTTCGTGCGCAGGTTTATAGCAGATAATGGGACAAAGTTCGTTAACCAGGAGGTGTCGAACAGGCTTAAGATATTGTGCGTACCAATCAAGATTACTGAGCCCTACCATCCTAAGGCAAATGCACCAGTAGAAAGGGGCCACCGGACCATGAAAAACACAATCGCTAAGCTTGCAGCAGACAACTTGGGGAACTGGCCACGGTACCTTAAGCAGGCAGTCTTCTCTGAGAACATGACACCAAAGAGAACGACGGGATGCATTCCAGCGGAGTTATGGTATGGAAGGGAGATTGACTTCCCAGTGGAGGCCCTCGTCCCAACTTGGATTATATTAGACGATAATCCGCACTTGACCACGGAGGAGTTAATCACCGCACGTTGCCAGCAGGTCGCCAGGAATGAGGAGGCATGGGAGGAAGTAGTTAACCGTGTAACGGATAGCCGAATGAAGGATAAAGCAAGGTGGGACCAGGTCAAGAATATTCGGAAAGAGCCACTCCAGGTGGGGGAGAAAGTGTTGGTTAGAAACTCGGCTCTTGAAAGCACATGGTCTGGGCAACTGGGAAAGAGATTCAAAGGGCCTTACAGGATCGCTAAGCGGGTGGGACTGAATACGTTCGAACTTGAGGATCTTGATGGTACTAGCATAAGAGGACCATTTCCGGGACAGAGATTGGCCAGATTTTTTAGCAGGGATCCTGTGGAACAATGGTTACAAGAAGCCCAGGACAGAGAAACTGGGGAACTGACAGCCTGAAAGGCAGGCAACTGGCTATAAGTTCTGGACCGCCTCCCTGGGGAAGTGATCATGACCACAGGGATTGTTCTTTTGTGTGTCTTGCTTTTTGTGGAACGAGGGGAGACTGCCTGGGCTGACTGTGATTGGGCTTGGGAGCACGGCACAGTGTAGTATAGTTTTTGTGGGGTAACGCTGGGGACTGTCTACACGAGGTATTGAGTTGGGACAATGTACCATAGTTTTTGTGGGGTGATGCTGTGGACTGCCTACATGGGGCACCTATGTGTTGGGACAATGTGTCGAGGGTTCTAAGGGATAATGAGACTACCAACTATATGGGGTCAAGCAAGAGTTCTAGGGAAGCCTCCAAAAGCTGCAAATGGGAGTGGAAGGGAATGCGTGTGTATGAGGGGTACCGTGACTGTTATGTATGAACAGGGCCAAGCAAGAAGAAGAAAGACAACAAGGAAACAAAAAAATGGAGTTTGGGAATGAAAATGACAGCAATGCAATTAACAGGCCGGAAGAGGGACAGTCGTCAAGGCAAGCCGGAGCGTCGAGCTCCAGGAAAAGGAAGTTGTATGTGGGGTTCGATCACAACCTAGTTGTGAACAAGGGGGGGCAGAAAGCAAGGGACCAAAGGACCGTCACCATTGAAGGAAGGGGAGCCAATAGAGTTGCCTTCAGACAGTGATCCTAGTAGTAAGGAAGAGGGGAACTCGGAAAAAAGGCGAAGGATGGAGGAGGGGAACCCAGAGGAAGAACAACAGCCGAGAGAGAATGAACCCGTTGAGTTCATTGACCTCACCAGCGACGAGGAGGAAGATGAGGTAACAACGCCCACAAGGGAAGAACGGGGAAGAGAGGACGAACCGGGTGAGGTAAAGGACAAATGGATAGAAGAGTTCGGGCCAACCTTCAGCGACTGGTTTGACCAATGGGGCACTATCTTGCGATTTCAGTGGATAACGAAGGCAAGGGCAAAACTGGGCAGGGGAGAGGATCTATCCCCAACAACTTTTTTCACAGAGAAGACACTCCTTCAATGGCAAGAAATAAAGAGGCAAATGTAGCAGGAAATGGAGGACCGTGCAAGGAGGGAGGCTCGACGCAGGCCACCTGGACAATAGACGAATAGCAGGCGCAATGGGAAATAGCTAGAAATTGGAGGGGTTGGTGTCTGGGCAGTCGCAACCGCCATTTTGGATTTCGCCTTTGAACTTCTTTCTGAATGATCTATGATGAGACAGTTGTTAAGCCCGAAGCGGCTAAAGGCTGGGTAATAAATGCTACTTCATATAAGTCGTTGCTTCTTCGGGAATGGGCACGAGAGGTTTTTCGCACTTAGAAGAGAACTGTGGATGCCTGGGGTGGCTAAGGGGAAAACCAGAGGGAGCTACATGAGACAAGTCTGTAGTGTTGTCTTGCATTCGAACTTTGTCTCCTCGTCTTTTTTGGAAAGACTGCGATGTAACTACTTTTTGGAATGAAGAAACTAGTAGGGGGTGGGTGACCGGTGCTACTTTGTACGAGTACTTGCTCCTTTTGGGAAACATGAGCCTTTTTGGTAGTAAGAAAGGGACTCGGGGTGATTAACTTTGTCTCGAGGAGATGAGCAAGGGTATGTGAACTCTTGAATGTTGGAAGAAACGTTGATGACGAAAGCTTTCCTTTTGAATTGTGTAACCATGATTGAACGAGTCGTTGCACGAGTTTTTGTCAGAGGTTAGGGGACCTATGGGTAAAGAGGCATCCTTTTCCTTAGGAGCCTAATCCAACCTATCCCAGACAAGTCCAGAGCATTGAGAGGATATGAGAAGTCGGAAAAGTGGGAGGGAAACATTGAAATGAGTTAGCATCCCTTGTAATGGTTGAACGGTCGGGCGGGCTAGTGCTGCTTGTGGTCGTGAGCTTCAAATTGAGCATTGGATGCTAAGTCGGGTGTATGCGTGGACATGAGAATGATGATTGGCATAAAGCAAAGAGGAAAAAACATGCATAGAAACCCAAGAGGGTGGTCGCCTTCTAACCCCCGAGACGAGATAGGATCTGTGTCCTCGAGGCCCACCCCCTCGGGCGCTAACATTGCAATGGACAAAGGATGGCCCTAACCAGGCTGTCCAATTGGAATGGATAAGGATGGTCCTAACCAGGCTGTCCGATTGCAATGGATAAGAATGGCCCTAACCAGGCTGTTCGACTTGGAATTGGAAAGAACGACCCTAACCAGGTTGTTCGGAATGGCCCCTGACAAGGGTCATTCTTTGGAAGTGGCACTGGGGTCCCCTTGCATGGCTGCTTGAGATGCATGACATTGGGTAGAGTTGAGCTTTGGAAAGGATATTGGAAGAGTTTAGCTTTGGAAAAGACATTGGGAAGAGCTGAGCCTCGGAAAAGATATTGGACTCAGCATTGGAAGAGATATTGCACTGAGCATTGGATTGGGATTGAGCATGGAAATGAGACTGAGCATTGGAATTGGATTGAGTATTGAAAATTGCATTGCATAAACTCGGGACCCTAGGCAAATGGAAATGGACTTGGAAAGAGCCTTGAAATGGAACTTCTCTTTTTCTTCTAGCCTTTGGCCTCAGCAAGAGGGGGATACCGATGCATGCACCGCGACCCCAAGACCTCTATCCCTTTGGGGGAAAAAGTCTCAGCGCGACCTGTTCATCTTCAAGAGGATGAAGGTTAAAGGACTAAGGCACCTACCACTTGGATCGGTGCGGGACGTCCGGAACCACCTCCGACAGTGAGCTCTAGTCGGGGAGTTCCAACTGCGCCTCCTGTTGAATGCCTAAACGTCGAAGGGCGAGAGAGCCAAATGGGCAGGAAAGCCATTCTCATCTAGTCTATTATGCTACTCCCCAACCACACGCCAGGTCATAGAGGGGTGGCATGGCCGTTTGGGTCGGACCACGGCTGCCCGCGCTAAGTTGGGCGGCACTGTCCAAAGGGAGAGGCCGGGCGAGGTACCGGGTGGAGTCCGCCACCACCACGGGGCATTGACACTGCCCTGCCGGAACATTACAACCGTTTCGGGACTAATTGCGAGGTCTTCGTAACTGCACTCGCGGACTGATCGAGAGCCCCAACTCTCTTGAAAGAAAGAGGCCGGAATCCAAAAAATCACCACTCGGGAGGAACGATTCGCGAGGAACACTCTTACGACTAGACGAGGCCCTGGCAGGCTTGGATTGGACCTACCTGACAGACACGGGGAGGAACCTCGGTATTGGTGCTCGCCACGTGAGAGAATAAAGGTCGAACCGAGTAGAAGGATGAGGCGTCGTTCGCTGGGGAGGAACTGATCACTCCTCCTTTTGTGAAGTGGATGGGCTTGTGTCCTTGATTTGCAGTTGGCGGGCCGAAGGTCTGCGTACCTCCGAGTGAGAACCAGTCGCGCGTTGGGGACATCGAGTTTTGAGTGGGGGGAAGGTGTGCCATCTACCAATGAATGAAATGAAAATAAGACTTGTAATTGATTTTGCATGGGCTTGGAAAAAAGGGGCCTGTCAAGACGACCGGAACAGAAAAAGATTGTAATTGACTTTGTATAGGCCTGAGAAAAGGGGGTCTGGCAAGACGCCAGCGCAGAAAGGACTTGAGCAAGTGACATGGTATGAACTGGAACTGGCAGACTGAGAGTTGGCTGTGTAATCGGCTCGTATAAGCTTGAAAAGATGAGAAGTGGCTAAGGGGTGAACCAAGCATTGCACATGAAAAGTCAATTAAGTAAAGGGCAAGAAAGGGCAGAGGATGATATGCATGCAGAATTGCCAGGACCTGAGAAAGGCCGGGAGGAATGACCCGGGAAGAATCCATGTGGATTTGACTATGCCTGAGCTTCGGGGAGAGGAAAAATTATACTGAAAATGAGCGGATGGCCTAAGAGTAATGAATGAGACGAAACCAAAAGGATTCCTGCTCGAGAATGTTTTCTCAATGAAATGGGAAGATAGATTTGAGATTACCAATGCAGCCTTCAAGACATTGTCGAGAGCGAGAAATGACGTACAATGAGAAACTAGTTGCAGGGCATGTATGTGGTCAGACCCCTCCAAGGGGCGATGCTAGTCAACTTGATGAGGGAAAGAGACATCAAACTGCTTAAGCTCCTTGACGTGTTGCTAGCTCGCACCTGGAGGAAGCCATGGCAAATGATCCTTGTGACATCCGTCGCCAAAATCTCCCTTTTACCTCGGTTCCTGGGGAGGGTGATGGGCACGTCGTCCTCTCTCGTGGAACGATACGGGAAGTTGTGGGGAAGCCTTTGGGTATTTGGGAGTTCCAGTGAGAACGAGATACAGCTGTGAGACAGACGTTGATGCACATAAAGTATTACGCACTCGTTACAAAGACATTATTGAGATTGGGGACGTTACGCAATCCAAAGGAAACCCGAAGCAAAACCTTGACCCCTCCATACCCTCCCCCGCCCAAGAGGCGAAAACTTAAAGAAGGACTTAAAAAAAGAGCGGGAAAGACAAAAAGAACCCTGGCAAGCTAACTACTCATCCCACCCCACTCCTCTTCCCTGTTTGTCTATCACTCCAAAATTACTACCGACCGTGGATTGGTGCGCGATGAGGACATCGCGAATGAGTGAGGGGAATATGTCGAGACTGGTGAGTCCCGAATGACTTCCCGTCACTCGAGAGATTGTATATGACTAATTTGTGCACGGCAGAGAAAACCGGAGACGAATGCTAGAAAGATCGGAAGTGTGGGCACAGGCAGTAGGAAGCTAGAAGCTGCCCAGGGTCATCAGGACCGCCAAACTAGAAAAGGACGGTCTAAGCAGGAAGCGACAAAGGACTGTGAGAGAATAGCAGGGGCGACTCTTTCCCCGAAGGACGGAGAAGGGCCGCCGGGAAGTCGGTAGTAGCATAGGAAGTGCGCAGCAAGGGAAGGAAGGAAGCGGGAAGGGTCAGGGCGCAAGGCGCTGACGTGACACAACGGCAAGAGGGCCAAGGAGACCGCAGGTTAGGTGGGAGCCGGCACCCGGAACGGAATAGCATGCGGGACACAATAGGAGCAGGGAGCGGAGATCRCTGTGAGACAGAGGGACGTCGGAAACAGCAAGAGAAAAGGTGGTATCAGCGGGACGAAGCGCCGGGGACCACACAAAACCAAGAAAAGACGTGGCATCGACAGAGCAAAGCGCCGGGGGCCACGTGAGATTAAGAAAAGATGTGGTGCCGACGGAACAAAGTGCCCGAGACCACGTGAGACCAAGAGAAGACATGGTACCGACAGGGCAGAGTGTCAGGGACCACGTGGGACCAATTAAAAATGCGGAATTACCGGCGGGACTAAGAACCGTCGACGGAACAACGAACGACTGGGCAGCGGGGATGCATGATGACCCAAGAAGAAAACAGGTCGTCACCTGGGACGACGCCAGAAAAGGGGGAACTGACTAGGAATAATAAGAGGATAGGGAGAAGGCGTGCGTCGACGGAAATCGATGACAGAATGAAGGAAACGGACGTGAGACGGGAAAG